TTTAGGAAACATTTCAACAATCTCATGGGTGCAATCAAGAATTCAAAGACGTAATACAACTAAAAGAGTTGACAAAAGACTAGAAGAAAAATTTGATACCAATTCAATATGGAAAGTAGTAGAAGTTGTGTTGTCTTGTCCATCACTTAACTCCACACAAAGACCAAGCATTAGTGATGTGGTAGTACAGTTGAAGGTTTGTCTTACTTATGTGACATCACAAGAGACATCTAGCAATTTTCAAAATCGTGAAAAAAGTGTAGATGCTATGGTGCCTTTTTTTTCCCAATATAGACACTAGTCTTTGGGCAAGATAATGTTATGCAGTAATTTTCGATGATGATATATTAGTAAATGATGTAATTTGTGAATCTGGTTTTTTTATCATAATAAAGAGCATAGTAAAGAATGAATATATCATTTTTCTCTATATTTCTTTTAATCAAAGTTAATTGTGTGGATGACCTAGACCTTATGACTGCCTACCATCATCTTCAAAAGATGACCTAGACCCCCACATTGATGGGAACCACTGAAGAATAATGTACTAGGGCCTATATATGGAGAGAAGGCCCTAAATAATGAGGAAAAAACCTAGAAGGTGAATAGGAGATTCTCCCCCTGATGAGTTCCGATTCGGTCTCATCTATTCTAAAGGTCGATCTGACCTCGAAAACACTTCTTATTATTGTTGAATCTTCTTCACAATCTTCCCCTTATCCCTTTTGATTGAATTTTCTTCACCAAAGACAATTGGCCTTGGTGGAGTGGGAGGTTCAAAGGCTGGACTAGGGTATGTGATCTGCCTACTCACTTGAGGTTTGTAGCACTAGTATTAAAGCAGGTTATTCGGCCCATTTTGCTGGAGTTTGGAGCAACTTTCATAGGCACATAGGATTATGAAAGCAAGATATTGTTACTGCAACCCTAGTAGAGATCAAATTACCAATGTTGAACGCAAATATTCATCCTAAATTCTTATTTGAATGGATTTCAAGAAAGGTGAGAAGTAATTCTTCCAACATTATCAATTGGCTGACCTTTCCACTGTTTGCTGCTGAATCAAAACAGCAGAATAAGATTTGGCAAAGCTATTATAGAAAGAATGACTAACCTGCCAAGTTGGAACCAATCTTGACCAGAAGATTCCTACAAGTCTAAGGCATAGGATATGGTTTTGTTAGAAGAGGCGATCACATCACTAAAGCAAGGATATACCAAACAAGAACAATCCCCGAATGAACATAGAGAAATTCTCAACTTAGATTCTCCAAAAACTATCCACAAAAGATCCACACTCTAGTTCACATCCCACTGAAGATCCAAGAGAAGAATCGAGACAATCATATCACAGTACTACTTACTTGGATCTAGCCTCTCATGATGACCAAACACAAGTAACTTAGAGGATCTAATTACCAATTTTCCAAGGGGATGGCCTTGAGGGATAAATTGCACATAGAAAAATATTTCTGCCTAAACACAATGCCAAAACATGATAGACTCAAATAGATTATGTTGAATATGGAGAGAGAAGCCCTGAAATGATATTCTTCAATGGAGAATCAATCTTCATATCATGATTGACACGACCTCAAGAGTCAATTTAGAAAATGATTCAAGACATCCAAAATAGGAAGTTCATTACAACAATTAATAAGTCTCCAACAAACTAATTTAGTGACGGAGTACAAAGCTGAATTTGAATGTATCGTAACTCTTTTACCTCATGTACACAAATTGAAATGTTAAAAAATGTATATGTGAGGGGTTTAAAAGTAGATATGAAATTTTAATTGGCAGTGCATAAGCCCCTTTGGCTTAGAGAAATCATGGATTTATCAATCCAAGCCAAGGTTCACCTTTGAGAAATCAAAAGTAGGAACGCCTACGAAAAGATCGCTTGGGTTTATGAAAGGGTTGCTTGGATTTATCCATAGTTTAGTCCTTATCTCTAAAATCCTATTTCTTCATACATTTTAGATACAACCGAAATAGGGTTTTATTTATATATTTATATATGTTATATTCTATATTTATATATGTTATATAATATATCTTATTAACCTCTTCCTACTCCTTGGATTGTGAGTTCATTGGAAATCAAATGACTCCAAAGAATGAATCCCACCAAGTTCATCATGACTCTTACATAAAGGAATTCCAAAATGCAAGTATCAAAGGTAGTTTCAAGGACTATTAGAGTTTGGCTGAAGGTACTTCAAAGAGGAACTCATTTACATCAAAGCCTCTTATGAGTAACTACAAGATAATCAAATTAATAGACAGAATTTTGAAAGAGAAGAGATAAAGGACAATGCTACTATTACAATGAAAAATTTACTCCATGACATATTCTATGACACCGTTGCAAAAAGAGTTGGAACATTATTATTATGGATGGAGACCAAAAAGGATGACGACATTGATGAAGTTTGGAAATCATTTGATCAAGTCATAACCAACACTAATGAGAGTGTGTCCACTACACATGTATCCATAATTTCAGTCATGGTAGTTACTTAGCAAGGCACAATGAAATTATAGGACAGAATATATGAAAAAAAGTTATCTATGCATATTATACGTATTGTTAGTAGGGTGACTCACAATTTCCTATGTATGAAGTTTATTGATAACTTATCATTATAGATGGAACAGTTATCTAAATACATTATTATTATAAGCAATTGCAACATAGTGACTAGAGCAAAAAGTTGCAAAATTATTCCTCTAGAATCACAAGGTGTCCTAATAGTTTAAGATTTATTACTTTTGGAATTAAGCAACATGAATGTGATTTTAGGCATTTAGTGGTTGATAGATTCTCTCAAACTATTAGAAGCTTATTGTGAAATTCATGACGGGAGATACATTTCACACTTTCAAGGGGAATCTTAGTATCACAAAAGCTAGTACATCAAGAAAAGCAAGGAACTTAAGGTTAGTAATAAATACATGGTTGAACTGCACCATATTTCCTCAAATAGTACACTATATTATCAAATGATTTAGAAATCTACTTGAAGTAAGAATTTCTGTAGGTTTTTAAAACAATGTCAAGGTTGCCACCTAAGAACTGATGTGCAATTGTTGTTGTGTTTAAATACATAGTATCTAATAATATTTGTAACTAAAACTTAATAAAATATTAACATAGAAGTAAGTCTCAAGTCAAACATAGAGAAATTGATTAATTCGTCATGAAAACTAATTTATTTTATAGATATTAAATAATTTTAATATTTTATCCCTATTTAACAGAAATAATAAAATAGAAGGATGAGGTGAGAAGAATAAAGGAAGAGAAATAGAAAAAGGAAAGAGGAAAAAGGGAAGTAGAGCTCTCACGGGATGAAATCTCTTGCAAAAGGGAGAGAAAGAGAGAGAACGAGAGAAATCTTGCATGAGATAGAGAGAGAGAGAGAGAAAAGTCTCACAAGAGAGAGAGACAAAAAGAGAGTGGGAGATTGATCAAGAGAGAGAGAGAGAAAGAGAAGGAGATCAAGAGCTAGGAGCTCAAGAATATAGTAACATAGATATTATAGAAGTAACAAGAATAAATAGTATCTAATAATATTTATAACTAAAACTTAATAAAATGTTAACATAGAAGTAAAGTCTCAAGTCGAACATAGAGAAATTGATTAATTCATTATGAAAACTAATTTATTTTATAGATATTAAATAATTTTAATCTTTTATCCCTATTTAACAGAAATAATAAAATAGAAGGATGAGGTGAGAAGAATAAAGGAAGAGAAATAGAAAAAGAAAAGAGAAAGAGAGAAGTAGAGCTCTCACGAGAGAGAGAGAAGGGATGAAATCTCTTGCAAAAGGGAGAGAAAGAGAGAGAACGAGAGAAATCTCACATGAGACAAAGAGAGTGAAAAGTCTCACGAGAGAGAGAGACAAAAGGAGAGAGGGAGATTGATCAAGAAAGAGAAAGAGAAGGAGATCAAAAATCAAGAAAGAGAGAAATATAGTTCTACTCATTTCAATCAATCATTTGAATTAGTTCTACTTATTTCAATCAAAACGTGCATGAAATAGAAATAACTTGCCGTAAAATATAAATAAATAACAAACATAGACAAGTAAATATTGAAAGTAGGAAATAAATCATTGCTCAAATTTAGTTTGCCTCTTTGACAACTAGAGACACCAATGTGGTAGCTTGGTTTTGTCTGGACATGGCACACCATGTTAGAAGTCACAAAAATATCATCTAAAAGTCATTCATTACATTATATTTTAAAATAAATGTTCTTAATAATTCTCATACAAAATTTCAAAACGAACTCTAAACAATGGTACACCATAAGAACTAATATCATTTTTGACATATTGTAATAATAGCCTATCACTAGTCTATGAATTCATGTCTAAAGGTTCTCTTGGAAATTATTTGATAAGTTCATGAACACAACATACTATTAATGTCTAAACAAGTCTCACATTTTTGTTTGACCACTTTACCATTATTGTTATTCTAAATCATCTTCTAAAAATACTTTGTGTAGGGAGGACAATATGGATAACTTGTGTTGGAGAGAGGCACTAGAATAGTAATTGAAGCTGCACAAGTGACATCTTGAAACATCATTGATCTGTCTATTAACTCCTTTCAAACCCTATTTTTCTTAATCATGGATGTTGTTGAGATTCCAACTTATATGAATTCATCTACATAGAAATGATGATTGATGATGTTCCATTTTCATATACAAAGTAAAGTACAAAAAAATTAAATGTCACATGATTCTCATGAAAATGATATAGATTTAATGATAAATCGATTTATAACCTTATATTATTTTGGTAATTTTTCTAAGTTGCCCAAGACGAATTGACTTATTAAATGACAAATGAAATAGAGGAGGCAGAGATATTATACTGAGCCTTGATCCTTGAATGACGTGGTTGGCGGGTGATGATGAGTGACGTTGGCAACAGCAGTGGTTGGTATCCATGGAAACGGTGGACGGCGAAGACCATAGATGGCGATTCGAGGGCTCGCGGTGATGGAAGGAGAGGGAAAAGGTAGGGCGGCAACGGTGAGAGAGAAGAGGGTAGCGACGGGCAAGCGGCCGGAAGGGAGAAGAAGTAGAATAAGAGAAGAGGAGGAGGAGAAGCTCCAGACCGGGAGCGGCGGGTCCTCCGACCAACCCAAGCCGGGGCAACGAGATAAAATGATCAGGTAGCAACTTATGCTTCTACTTCAAAATGCACTGCCTTACGCAGAGGACTTTCGGCCCGTTTTATAGGCCTTAGTAGGTAACGGAAACAAGGAGACTAAGCAATTCTTAATAAAAGATAAAAGGCGCCAGTTTCAGGGCGTTTTCGATGGCGACGTGGGCGGCGGACGGTTGGTTCCATGGCGAGACCCACGTATCCCACTTCAGGCGTTTCCGGTTCTCCGTCTTGAACGGTTCCAACTTCCTCGAACGACGGGGAGCTAGGTCGTGCTGCATCACTCCTGGTGGTGGCGGCCTCAGCGCAGAGACCCTCCATGACCGTTACGCCACAACCCTAGCCACACTCTGTCGTCTTCCCGAGCGGAACTCCAAGTCTCCTCTTCCATCTCTGTGGCAGGGTTCATCAGCATAGACTGCGGCCTCGACGACAACTCTGGCTACACAGACAGGGTTACTCGGCGGCACCTATGACTCCAGGCAAAAGTTACTCGGCTACAGCTCAGAGAACCAGCTCAGGAGGATGCGCATCGGCGGAAGCCTGCCACAACCGTCGTTCCCGGCGGTGCCCATTTCGATCGAGTAGGATGATGACATGAACGACGACATGTCTGATGGGCCTCGCAGCGCCGGCGGGAGACTCACACACAGGCAAAGATGCAGCGAGAGAGAGAGAGAGAGAGAGAGAGAGAGAGAGAGAGAGAGGTGCGGCCAATTTTGTCCACCCCTCTCGACGGCAAGCCCCACTGGGTTCCATACGTCGTTCATGAGCGTGCCTCTTCATCAAGAGAGGAATACACGCGTAGTAGTGGCATTCACGGGTTGTAAAATGGGCTGGCCCGTTTAGGATTCAAATGTAGCCCAGCCCATTTAAAGCTCGCGAGAAGAAAGGAAGTCAGTATTAGAGGACTGAGGAAACCGATGGGAAAAAGATTCAAGCTTTTCTGGTTCAAACTTTCGAGGACCCCGATCAGGCGGCGGAGTTGAGGGGCTAAGAGGGGGGCGCGGGTAGCGTCTCCAGTGGAGTTCGTGAACCCTTCTCTCGCCCACTTTCACATTTTGAGGACTGTGGCTGTGGTCTGGCGATTGTCCGTCCTCTCGCCCAACACTCATGGGCAGATTTGGCAGTCTGCCTTGTGGGCTCTTTTCCCGCAGCTGGTGCTCGCGCCTTCTATCTCGAACTCCAACGGTAAGTGGTCGCGCATGCCCTACCATTGCAGATGATTTTACGGCCGTCGAGGTCTCCTCTGGTAGGAAGGAATGGCCTGAGTTTGTGGTCTATTCTCCAGTTTCCGACATCTATCAGTGCCGGGCCATCTGTGGGTGACGTAAAGCACCAAGAAGGGATTCTGCTATTGGTTAGAGCTATTTCTCACCGAATAGTCTCACGTAATTCCTTGGGCCATCATTCCTTTACTTTCATTATTCCTTGTTGGGTCGTTTCATTACATTTTAGTCGTTGCGGCTTCATTGTCGTTGTCGATATCTCGTGATATTTCCATAGTCTTAGAACTTGTGAAACGGTTGAACTTCCGTCCTGTAGGAATGTAGTTTGTGTCGTGGGTACCTTGTGACCCGTTCGCAGTAGCATCCAAATATACTCTGAGCAATTACTTTTCATTGGTGTGTCCCACGATTCAGGCATTTATTTGTGGCGCTAATTTTATTTTTTTAAAATTCAGTCCTATTTAATAATATGACTCGAAACCAGTGAAGGATGACACAAAGTCTCCACACCTATAGGATTTTATTGCATTGTTTTTATCTTTTTAAAGTAATGCAACATTCCTACCTTTATTAATTCTAGAGAAGATCATTTACGGCCTTGCAACTTCCTTGGTGAGATTCACTCAGAATTGATGTAAAATATCTTGTTCTAGCTCTACATGGAAGCAGCTGTTGGGGAGTGGAAACACCTTTCTTTCAGTTAAGAACATCATTGCCATTGCCAAAGCGTTGTTTTCGTGCTACTGGTATTTATTTTCCAAGAACTGCAGCCTCTTATCAACTGGATTTGATTCAGAAAGTATAAGATTTCTCATCATGAAGTTGCTCATAAATCTGTGTTATGCTGTATTTCGCGCAGGTGTATGTTGCGCTGCAGAATCTGACTACTATGAAACACTTGGTGTTCCAAAAAATGCTAGCCAGGATGATATCAAGAAGGCTTTCCATGCGGTAGGTTTCCAGTGTCAAAATGTTTTCTTCTGGGCTAGATAATGGTGGGAATTTCATGGTGAGTTTTCGGGTTCACTTATAAGATGTTTAAGTTGAGTAAACTGAATGCTCTTTCATTGGAAAATAAAGAGTCTAGGGATCAAATTTTCCAATAAACTTTACAATGAAACTCTAATCAAAACTTTATCCATCTCTTGGTTTCGTAAGGCATTGGGTTCTTTCATTTAGTTCGTGGAAGAGATTGTTTTTATTCTTTTACATGTATCAGTATTCTTTATTTTCTCCTGTTCTCATTTTAGAGTCTCTGGTGCAATGTTGTGTGATATTGCTTCATTCGGCTGTTGATGTCATAGTCATGTGAAAGATGTTACGTGTTGTTATTCCTGCTGTTTTTTTAACAGTGTCATTTGACTTGAAATTCGTTATGGGCTTCCTTCGCATCTGTCTAAGCATTCTTGCTCTAGTTACTGCTATTTTTTTCGGTTGATATAGGTTTTTTGGTCGCCTAAAACTTTCCTTTATAACTTTCCCAGTCTAATTACTATTTTATAAGATATCCTTCAATCATAGGAATCCATTACTTACCAAAGCAATTTTCATTTTGACTGAGCAATTTTATTTTTACACGACATTGTTTGTATCTTCCTCTGGTTGTGCCTAGTTACTGGAAATAGCCTTATTGAGGTCGCTTATGTTTTTCTAATTCCGTATTATGTGCATGCCAGACATTGTGTATTAATTACGCAACCTTAGAGTTCACCTATTATTAATATCATCTATAACTTCCATAATCTTAGTTTATAGCCTAATCCATCCTTTGTCACACTCCACCAATTTCACACGGTCTGTGAGACTTTTGCTTCTATACTAGTTGCAATGAAGTCATTTTCTATCAGGTGAAACTGATATTTTGATTTATATATTAGCATTTATATTTTGATGAAGATGCAATTATATTTTGAGTTGAAATGATGTAATAGCTTCCATGGGAATATCATTCTAGCCAAGAACAGGGATGATTCCTATCTCCATCAATAAGTGAACAAAGATCGACTACTTGAGTTGATTATTTGGATTATGTTTGTGCATTAAAATCATTTATGGCCTAAAATTTGAGATTTGATCTCCTTCTAATTGCTTTGCTTTCCTATTTGTTCTTCTTTGATTGTATCTGAGAATTGTCATCTGCAGCTGGCAAAGAAATTCCATCCTGATGCCAATAAGCACAATCCTGCAGCAAAGAGGAAGTTCCAAGAGATAAGAGAAGCATATGAGGTGAAATAAATTCTCTGTTATGCCTACATTAGACTAAATTATACATTATCTATTTTTTCTTAATTTTATGTTTTGTGAAAATGAGTTCTAGACTTTGCGAGATACAGATAAGAGAGCTCAATATGATAAGGTAATTGCCTTGAACTGTGGATTTGGATATCTAGTTTTTTCCTTTCTCGATATGAATTTTATTCAAATCAGTTAAATATTTTTGTTAAACAGTAATTTTATTCATGGTAGGAATTGTCTGGTGATACAAGGCAGAGGAGATATAGCTCTTTTGACTCAAATGGGTTCAACAGTCAGAATCACGGCCCTTTTTCTGATACATTCTATAACATATTTTCGGAGGTATTTGCTTTTCATTTTTCTTATTGTTGGGGTAAAATGGAATATAGAAGTCTGATCGTTTGTCACCTTCACAGATATTTGAAGACGATAGGGAAACATTTGCACCTGATGTTGAGGTCCCTTTATATCCTGAGCTTGAAGCTGATTTTTGACTTGTTGTTCTGTTTTAGACATCTGAAACCTCTCTGCCTATGGCTCTTAGGTGGAGTTGCTCCTTTCTTTTTCTGAAGCTGCCAAAGGCTGCACCAAAAGCCTATATTTTAGTGCTCATGTATCATGTGATTCATGCAGTAAGTGCGCTCTACTTTGGTTCTTATGCTTGGAGTCAACACTCTTCTCTGTAGATGATAGCTGTCAGGTAAGGTTACATGTGATGTCACATAAGAGTCAAAGTTAACCCGGTCATGTTGTTTGGGAGGTGTGAAACCCTTATGTATGGGATATGCCTGTCTAATCCCACACATCCTTCTCACTCGTAGGCGAGTACAGATGATGACAATGTAGACTGGTCCAGATGAAAGTTTTTCAGACGACAAAATTGCAACTGAGAAAAAGTGCTATGATTTTTGTTATGGGATATTTGGTCCAACTGATGCATTGGTTCATTGGTCTTCTGGTTTTAATGTAAATACCCCTTCCGTAGTTGGTTTTAGTATGGAAATTCACGCACCTATTTAGTGTTTTAGACATCCATCTCGCACTCTCTCTATTTGTACTCTTTAATTCACTGTGTTTGAGAGAAATTTTCGTGGTATCTTAACTTAGGTCTTAAGCCTAATTCATCCAATGCAGTACCCCAATTGGTATCCAGAGATCATTCACAAGTCTACTCCTTGGATTGCAGGCCTGCTTCCTCTCTGTGGTGTCTTCTCAACTTTTTTTTCTTTTTTTCTTCTCAACTTCTGGAAACATCTCCAGGCCTCTTTCCCACCTTTCTTTCCTACTGTATTATCCTCACTGTTAAGAGATTATCGCTGGTGTCTTCCGCTTTCTCTTGCCCAGCAGTCAATAGGGTAAAGGTCTGAGGGAAGACTGTAACCCTTTGACAGCATACCACAATATTTGTTTCTCCTCTTTGCTGCCTGGAGGTCATTGACTTAAGACTCTATCGTCCCTAAACGTCTCCCTCTCCTATAGGATGAAAGAAAGCTTGCAAGTGGTCTATCACCTGTCCCTGCTGCAGCCTGTTTGTCCACTGCTAATCTTCATCTGTTGTTGCTCTTCAGCACCTCCAGATACATCTTTAGCGGTTGCTAAAGAAAGCGTTTTTCATTTTCCCTGATGACACCTTAGTGCCGCTGTTTTCTCTTGATAATACAGTTACAGAACGTTTTAAGATGCTGTTTTGACGTCAACTTTGCAGCCAGATCCTCTCCACTATGGATTCTGAAGCCTATTCTTTTCCTTGCTTTTGATGGAAATTACTGGAAGATATATTACACCATTTGGTGGCCTACAGGACTCAGTCCATATGACAGGATGAGAAAAAAATGTATATATCAATGAAATATACGGAAGAGAATGGTGGGGAGGAGCATGGTTGAGAGTTAGATTCTCAGTGTTAATAAAATTCTGTAGATTGTTTTGAGAAAACGAATAGATGGGGAGATGCATAGGATACGTACAGCCCATAGGAGGATAGGTTCTGGATCTATCATCCTATCCTTGAGGCAATGAAATCTTTCATTTGGCGCTCTAGTATCTTCCATGGTGATTGTGAACACTTCGAATTTATGTTATAATGGAGTGAGATACTGTAGCAGATCAAGAGAGACTTCTTTCATTTAGATCAATAAAATTATAGCCTATGAAGAGGAGCTATTTGTTGCTCATAGCCCACCTCCATCAGCTAAAAATATGCTATTTTCCCATTTTTCCATCTTTTTAGTCCATGTTTATATCCACAAAGTTGTTAGTGTTGGTACTTTTGCCGGTACTAAGACTTTCAGACAAGATCAACACTTGATGTTACGTTTTGGCATTTCCATTCTTGAATGCTATTTTAGGCACGTGTTGACATTTTTTCATAGGGTACCATAGCTGGAGCCTTGTAGTTTTTGAAAATCAATGGATTAGGCACAATACATTTAAAAGCAACCAATGCCCCTAGTCACAATTGTCGATCCAATCCAAAAAGCCTTTTGAGGATTTGATTTTATTATAGTCCAGCCAATGATCTAGCCCCATCTGGGGCCAAATTAAATCATAAAAAGTCATATAATTTTATCTTTAATGGGAGATTCCATGGATGCTAAAGATAATGTGACATTGAAAAAATACATGAAATGACCATGGCACAGTTGTGAGCTTTCTCTACCTCCACAGTTCTATAATTTATTTTAGACAAATGAGCTTTCTCATATGAGTTACGTACCAATGGTGAATGAGCCTCTACTAGGCCCATTTTACCTTCAACGATACCTATGGCCCTGACCATGCTGATGCTGAGGAGATCTCTAGGTCACTACATACGCAGAGGTTTAAGTTCTAGGTTCTTGGAAAATTTAATCATTATCTGGACTTGCATCTGAAGGATTTTCAAATTCGGTTGAGGCTAGACATAGAAAATATTGCAAGACATAAGGTATAGCTGACAGATACAAACCAAGTTGAATCAGCTGGTGGAAGATTACTTGAACTACTCAAAGTCTGGTTTGAGCTGAATTCGAATTATCCTACATGTTATTTGACCTACTTGTCTTGGGTGCCCTAGAGAAAGTCATCCTAATTTTTTATATCTGGGATTAATCAAGTCAGATGATCAATCTATAATGAAAGTATTTTCTGGTTTTATATAAAATAGTGCCTTGTTTCATTATAGGGATTTTCGTCAATATATTTCCTTTCTGTTGCCTTGATGTGATGTCTCATGTTACAGACGGTAGTGGACATCCAATAAATGCTAAACCCAGAGTTTGTACAACTTGTGGAGGCACTGGAAGGGTGAGCTTTACTTTTACTGCAACTCGTTTTCACTTCTAGACCCAAGGCCTGCGAATGGATTCATTTTCGTGAATATTAAGAAGTTTCTGTTTGTGTTTGTTTCTTGGGCATCTCATATGCTTGTCAGGTGACTGTGATTCCATTCACATCCAGGTGTAGTGCATGCAAAGGACTGGGTCGTATTATTAAGGTTGGGATATAATGCTTGTAAAGATATTGATGTATATTACTGCAAAAAATGTTTGAATCCTTATTAAGTTAGTGTTTTCAGGACCATTGCCCCACGTGTGCTGGGTCAGGAGTGGTAAAGCATACAAAGAATGTTGACGTCTCCATCCCAGCAGGTAGAATGCTAACCTTTGTAATTATCAGCTATCCAGGAGAAAACTTTTAGATTTTATTTGAAATAAAAGGTGTACTGTAAAGCAAAATATTTAGATCACTATTTGTTCATACAGAGGTTATCCTACAAAGGTGAGAATCCTTTAAAACTCGGGGCATCCTACAAAATTTGATTTCCTGTCTTTTTTGAGGACTTTCTCAATTGGTAGATTGACCCTTCCTTGAAGAGTTTCTTTGGTACTTAGATTTCCTTTATTATATAGGTAGAGATCTAACCTCCTGTATAAACTTTTATGACTGAATAAGAACATGAGTTTCTGGACTAATCACCCTCTGCCTACTTGCACTATGGTTTCACCACTCTCTGGTATTCAGATCATGATTAATTCGTATCAGAATCTCTGTTTTGCTCTCGTATTTCTTCAACAATGTCAAACTGCTCTCTCCTTTGGCACCGTCTATGCTCAATTGCCACTGAAAAGCCTACTGAGCAGGAGGCCAAAGAATGCTCGGAAACAATGCTTTTGCTACTTGGATAGTCAATAATGGTCGAAGGCTATTCACACCTAGCCTTCAGGTGATTTTCTACCGTTCCAGCTCATCCTTTATATACTTTCATCGGCTGGCAAATATCATCACCTCACCTCCCCCCCCCCCCTCCCCCCGGCCCTCACAAGGGGTCCAGTTGCTCAGACTTGTCTCCCACCAATCTCATCTTCAATATGTGGATATGTGGAATGACTGACAACTATCTGAGGGCCTGTCTAGTAGATACTTATAGCTATTCTCCACATTTCTTGCCATGGCAGAAAGTTTGACCGTGATTAGTTAAGAAATGCACAGAAGGTTGCCTTAGCTTTTCCCAGCTGCCTACCCAACCACAGACGCAGAGTTATGTGCAGCCCTGTATGGTACTTTTGCCTGCATTTATGCAATCTCGTTAATGTAAGCTCTTCATAACTTCATTCAGCAAAGAAAGAGCACACAATCTATCTGTATATACCGTCCACTTTGGCCAGTTAGACCTAATCGATTTGATCTATATTGTCTTCTTATCTGCTACAGCAATGAATCTAGAAAAATCATAAAGATCATGATTTTCTTTCATTTGTGGAACCTACAGATGGCAAAACTGGTTAATTATTTGTAAGGCTTTTCATAGGAAAATAAAGCCGCTCAAAACCTATTATGGAGGATTAAAAAGTTGTTCTGGGGAAGTTCAAGAATGGTTTGGTAGGGTTCTCTATTCCTCCAACCTAGAGCGATGGTGTACACTCTCAATTTGATACATCGTTTTTGGTGAGCTATGGCTTCGTGAATAAGAAGTTATCACTGATCACGTGAAGAGCTCATTGACTTTTGAAGATTCATGATGTGCATAATGCAAGGATCCAACCATATGGTATCACTGATGGTCCTATCATAGGATCATTGCTTTCATTGACTGATTTGATGGTGACGATGATGCAGAGTTTTGTGAGGCACTTTCTGAACGATTGGCGACAGAGCCTCTGACATAGTCGGCCATGAGGTGGATTGGATGTTCTGGATAAATCTACTCGTTCTTAAGAGTATGCCTAATATACTTTCGAGTGCATAATTTTCCAAGTTTCCTGAGCTCCTGCTGCTTCCACGTGATTCTGAGAGTTCAGGTTATTAAAGGAATGATGATAGGATATTGGAACATAGTTTAAGGATGATGAATCTCTGAAGAGCATCAGGCCTGAGATGTACCTGCATCACTTGAGATTTAACTCAGAGTAGATCAAGATATCTCAAATGGATAACATGAGATTTCTGAGTTCAAGATAACTGGGACAGTGGAGAGGGTAAAGGCTCCCTGTTTTCCCTGTCCAAAGGAAGGAGACACCTGAGGGAGGAAAGGGATATGACTAAAAACAGATTTGGAGATGCAGGTAATGGGAGTTGAATGATGGATCATGAGTCAGACTTCAAGAAGAATAGAGGTGAAGTTTAGGAACCAGGTTACATTTAATTGCTTAGAACTGTTTGTAAAAGTATCTTTAATTTTTCTACATTATTTAGAAACGACATGAGGAGAATTACCTCCCTGGAAGTATTTCCCAACCATTAAGTTATTTATTTGTCAGGGTATCACAGACTATTTGTTTGAATTATTTCAAGTATATAAACGTTCTTTTTTCGTGTTCATTTTTTTCTTAACGTTAATATAGTGCCAATTTTCGGTAAGTTTGAGATAGGTGGGCACCTTGGATGACTTACGTTATACAGGCTGGGAGTGATGTAACATTGTATCACTTAATACTATAAACTGATCAAGAGGGGTTTAAGGCCCATCAAGGGAGCTTTCTCCTTGGGTCATTTTCTTATTCCCTGATCTTAATTTGGTCTTTATTTACTTCTGATGTCGCTGCCTCACATTTAGAGAGAGAGAGAGAAGAATGGAGAAAGAGCGGAAGAGAGTTGCATGAAAAACTAACCCTTGGTTGTATGGTTCTTGAGGAGAATCTTTTCCTTCTGTTGCACACCTCCTATATGCCATGGAGTTTTTAAATGAGCAGAGCTCATGTGTAAGTTGTGACCACAGTAGGGACATAACAAGGAATTCAGTCAGGATTATGAGATTCTGGTTTTTTTCTCGTGCCCCATCCAACTCATAGACCCATCTCAAGATCTATAAAAGCATCTTGGTATCCTGAACATCATCTACTTTTTAAAATGATACCGACATTGTTCCTTTTCGCTTACTTACATTGAGTTCTATCATATTAGTCAGAAACTGTACAGTGATGCAAACCCTGGGAGGATATACAGTGGAAAAAAAGCTGTTGCTTATTATTCACATCATGGATGGCTGCTAGTAATACACAAGTACAAGGGCCATGAAATAAGGAAACTATCTAACAAAGTAGTAAACTGACCAACTAAGAGAGAAACGCTTAAATATATGTTCTTTCCCACAATATTTATGTTATTCCTGATATTTGTGTTTCCTCCTATTAATGCGCGTCTGCAGCACAGATGTTGCAGACTTCCATAGCTTTCTTATCATCGGATAACAATTAAAAAAACTACTTGGATGAAGAAAAATTTCATGTAATCAAAATATGTGAGCTACGTCCTATTTACTTAATTTTATTCTTGTTAGTTTGTCAAATCTCTTGTTGATAAGCTCTACTACTTTGATTATGATTTTACCCATTTTGAGTACGGCGGTAATATCTACTGAATATCTTTGATTTCACCTGTTTGGATGTTTCTGTGATTTCTTCCTCTTCTATAGGTGTAGATTCAGGGGATACAATTCGAGTGCCAAAGGCAGGGAATAGTGGGCAACGTGGTGTGCAGCCCGGAAACTTGTTCATTAAGCTGAAAGTATGCTTCGTTCTGATCATTCGTTCTTTGATGAAGGGTACAGAATTGGGCAAAAAACTTTACAGTGTCCATGATGAAAGTATCATTCAATAATATGGATATAAATGCTGATCAGCGGCAACTAAATTACTCAAGCATATGCTATATATCACTCAATAATAGGATGATCACTTAAACACTCAATGGTGAAATAAAATTCTTGATTCTTCATATTTGCGCTTAAAACTGTTCAATATTATTTGTAAAGAAATAGAACATTTTTCTTTATTGGACTTAAACGGTTAAATACAACCATGTACTTGTGATGGCACATTCGAAGATGTTTCTTATTTTAGAAGTAAATGGGATTGAGCTCGTGAATTGCCTTCCTTTTAATAAAATTTGTTGTCTTTTGGTGTCGTTTCTATGTCTAGGTTGCCAAAGATCCGATTTTTTCAAGGGACGGTGCCGATATCTACGTGGACTCTAATATTAGCTTTACACAGGCAAGAATTTTTCCTTTTTGTTACTCTCCTCTTCGAAGTACAAGTGAGGAAAAAAATTATTCCACTGGGAATCATTATAAACCAGCATGCTCTCTCTCTTCAGAAAAGACTGCAGTATGTGAATTCAGTGTTCTGTTCAGTGACTGGTTGATTTGATAATGTCTCAACACTAGCCAGATGTCTACTACCTTCAACTTTCGAGCTTTACTTGGATCTCTTTCGATCTAATTTTGCCCAAAAGAATCTTATGACTTCAAATGTTCATAGCAGTATGTGGGTTTTGTTCTGAATGATCGGCCACTTGTGGATTTACAAGATAAATATTTTTACCATATTTCATGTAAAGTATTAGTTTTCACCAATAGAACCTTCTCAAGTCAATTCAGTTAATTAACCTTACTCTAATTGTCAGTGCATCTTTGTTCGTTTCACGTTTGCTTTATCTCTTTGGGTTCCATCGCACACTGATTTAAACTGGTGATTATGATTATTAGTTGGTGAGGAGAGTATTGGCATCCTAATCGTTTTTATTGGTGGTTATATTGAGCAACATCTTGGATGAGTGTTGTAGTTGCGAGATAAGTAATACTAAGTAATATGAGTGATTGATACTAGTGGTTATAATCTTTCCGTGTTAGCACAAATGGCCACTAGTAGGGCATTTTCTTTTCGGGTAGTTTTTGGGTAGCTTATACTTGTCAGGTAATGATAAACCACAGATAAAAACAAATTAGTTGACTTTATGGATTGCTAATTTGACGAAAAGATGCAATTTATTCTGTTCTTGAGATGATCTTGTGGGAAAGTTGGTCAGTTCTGACTGTTCTAGGAGAGTTTTATTTAACAGTGATTTCTCTTTATAGCGATGAATATATGCTTCCCTGTTAATGAGAAAAGGAGGCTTGATGGAAAATAAAATTGTCCTCGCTGGGTTCCATGATAGTTTGGAAATATCCTGAGGACAAATATGGCTGTGAATTTTCCAGGCGCCAAAATACAGTCAGTGGTCTTGCGATCCTAAAATCTATTTTAATTTTGTGGTATTTCTTCTGTTAATGTATTTGATGCAATTTTCCCCTCTAGTTGATTGTTGATGGTGCTTTCTTTGCTGTGACGTCGTTTTTATTATGGTCTGTTTGAAATATTTTTGAATTCATCCTTGTTTCTGTCATCATTGTCTATATGTTTGTTGACTTTTGTGAGAAGCTAAGAGCCAATGCTGTGGGAAGTATTCTATCAAGAGCTCTAGTACTACTGGTATCTTGAGAGACTCCATTCACAGTTTAATCAACTCTGTGAGAAGGTTTTGTTGAGAGCTATAGACCCTATTTTCTCCAATACGAGACTAATTAGAATGAACTAGGAGAAACTGATGCACAGGAAAACTTTATGGTAGTTCATTTTCCATGTGAGTACTTCCAGCTTCCATTATAGTATACCATTGAGTTACAAGTTGTTCACGGTGATGGCTGCATAAAAAATTCCCTTCTATATCTTGGGAATCAGCATTGACCTTACTTTGACAAATACTGAAAATACTCCCATGTAAGAAGCATTTTACAAGAAAATAGAAAATTTGGTTTAAAGACTCTAGTCCCATGACTGCTGGAAGGGGGGTTTACCCGCTCCCCAACATTCTTTCCAAACCACATTGAGAAATGACAGTTGACTGACCCTTGTGCGAACTCCATGTAAGGGCAGTCATTAGGCTCCACATTGCTTGATTAGTGTGATCTTCTGATCTTCAATACTCAAGATTTTTAGTCTTCATACTGAGTATCCAAGAACAGAAACCTCATTCAAAATGCTGAATGCTTGATTTATTTTAAAGTTTAATTTTGTCATGTCAATGATCAGCAGCACACGTAGTTTTATTTGCTTAATATACTACTGTTATTTTATTAATTGAATTATTGTGAGAGATATTTGAAATTGGGTTGAGTTTTATTTGCAATTGGTTATGCCTCATCTTGTCCTGTTAGGATTGAGGACAATTGATATCTCCCCTGAAATCATATGTATATATAAAAATTCTGATTGTTTACTAGTATTCAACTTATTATTCAGGCTATCCTTGGTGGAAAGATCCAAGTACCAACTTTGTTGGGGAAGACGGACGTGAAGGTACGATTTCTTGCATTACCTTCAGTTTCTTTTATTAGTGGCATTCTTTGCTGGTTATTTTATAACTCTATACGGATGCTAAAACACTGAGGAATTGCAACTGTGAAACGTATTTTGGACCTTTTTCAGTGTGTGGCATTGTGCAGTGCATTATGAAACAGAAAACATGGCTGGTATAAAGCATCAACTCCTAGATAAAACAGCCATCTTTACTTTGAGAAATATTTGAGATTAGCGAGATTTTGAATTGATCTCTACAGGAGTCTTAAGTTCCTAAATTTGTCTGACTTATATTGTTTTCGCTTCCATTTGTGCATATCATAGAAAAGATATCGATTTATTTCGTATCTCAAAGGTACACAAACAGGAAGGGTTTGTGTGCATCTGTTGTAGTGGCACCAACTAAGAAGGAAATTGAACAGCGGGTCTTAGAAGTAAGACTGTGCCTTAGATTATAACTTTTAAGCTATTGCATGAACTATTAAGCCATTGTCATTCCTCTCATTCTTACCTCATGTAAAAAGGTTGAGATAATACTCATTTTCTTCATGTTTGACTATAATGTTTTTAATGTATTTTTGAAAAAATGACTTAAGGTGCTTCATTATCTAGTAAATTTTTGTGTTGCCATTAGTAATAGAAATGTGATTGTATCGAACCCAGTTGGGTAGTTTTTTCCTTCGAAGAACTCTTGACTTATTTTTTGAGCTTCTGAACTGGACATTAGAATATAGTGTACTTCAGATTTCGGATTTTATATTTCTTCTTTCATGTATTTGAATTTTTCTTTTTAATCTAAGTTCAGAGGAAAATGTTCCAATAAAATGGTTGCTTCAAATATCTTATTTACTACTCAGATACCGAAAGGAGTCCAACCAGGGCAGCTGTTGGTCCTTAGAGGGAGAGGTATATCTGCTGAAGAATTTACATTAAGAGATATGCCAAATGAACTACGACAGATTTTATTTTCTTTCACTATATTTCCTCCGTGTAATGATGAAATCGTACCAGGTTTGCCAAAGCGTCTTGGCTTTGTGGACCATGGTGATCAGTACGTGCGTTTCTGTGTAAATTTTCCTCTGTAAGATGCTACTTTCCTGGTGTAACAGTTTATACGCTTTGAATTTCTCCAATTATGACTACCTGATTTTTTTGCGAATCATATACCCTCATTGTTCTTCGTAACGTTTCCATTCGATCCCTTGCATTGTGGAAGAGTGTGGATTGGCAGTAGGGAGTAATGTTTGGACCCAGCGGAGTGATTCTGAAGCTTCGTTGATTTATCTAGTTGAATGGGGCAAAGTCCATGTTTTTGGATTTATAAAATTGAGTAATCAAAACCTTCCCATCATGGAAAATCAGTGAAACACCATACAAGCGTTCTAACATAACATATTTCAACCACGCCAACACGAAATAAGCTGCATTGATTGTCCAGGTTCCTTCTTCCTTTTCTCTGATCTTTGTTCTCCAGTTCTGGCCTTTTTCTCTGCCTCTTGTTGCTGCTCACGACCACAGGAAGGTGAGGATCCAGAGTCCCGCAGCTGGCCTGCTGCTGGTCCGTTCTTTTCTTATCAGGCCAATTCAGCCATCCTTCTCCATCTATAGCGACATTCTCTTTTCCAGCCTTGTTTGATTGTTCCTCTTCTACTTCTGGTTCTTTTGCTAGTGGTGGGGAACTGGGTTTTCTTTTCAATGTGAGGCTCCCATGCCTTTTGTTTTCTCCCATGCATACATACCTGAGCTGGTGGAAGATAAAATGAATATCCCCTTCCATGATTATGCATGTATTTTTTTATGGTAGAATCTTTAGTCAAGTCATAGTTTACATCGTAACTCAGATTTATTTATTTTTTTGTTTGATCAAATCATAATATATTATATGGTAGGTCATTCGTCAAATTGTTGATGTTGCATTTATTTACTACTTGTAGATCAGTGAACGACCGCCAGAAGTCCCTTTTGGAAGAGTTTGCAAAGGAGGAAGAGATTATTGAAAGAAATGCATATGAAGAAACAAAATGGTTAGTGTCTTATGTTACTTGCCTGGCATTCAAGACCCGATTTATTTCTGCTGACCTCTGACAGGCTCATGCATCTTGTCTATGGATATGCACTTCAATTATGAAACTTTCTATTGACAAGATAGTTCAATGCATAGTTGCTCAGTTCTTTCTCACCTTACCCATTCATTCCACTGACTTTTAGTTGGCGATCCCTTGTATATAACATGAGTAGGTCACACAAGTCCCTATGCACCAGATAAGTTGCTATGCTTTGTGCTGCTGTTATCACCATGGTCTAATCACTGAATACCCCCCCCTCTTTGTGACAATGATTATCTTATATTACATCATCATGTGCAGATTTTTCTCCTTGATGAATTTTAATATTTTACATAACTTTGAACTGACAGAGGGCCAATTGTTAATGTAGAGTCCATAGCCTTATCCCCTCTGTCTGCAGGGGATCTACCCAGGACAGGCACATACGTACACTCTTTCTCATCCTCACACGAAGTCACTGCCGATGCATTAGAGCTTCACTGCAGATCTCTGTAGAGGTGGCTGCTACCGTGTAGTTTTCTATGCCTCTTTGAGACTACGCCACCAATTAGCTTGAGCATCAGAGGCATCCTTGGGGTCCCTTTTTGTGCCTCCTTCAAGGCGCCTCATTAGGAGATGCTTTCCTAAAACCCAGCAGTGATGGATGAGCTGCTGCTGCTGCTGCTCCACACAGCTCCATTCACCAAACTTCTGGAGCAAGGAATTTAGTGGGTCCCCAACTCTATTCCATCTATCTATGAAATAAAGATAAATTACGAATGAATAAAACTGTGCATATATTAAAATATATAAAATAAAAATCATACGTTAAGAGATTATTAGTCCTGGTGGGATATAAAAATTTGATCATAAAAGTATTAAATAGAGGCAAAATAGCTGTCGTATTTTAGTGTTTATTTGAAGAATTTGAGAGAGGAACGGACATTTACGAATGGGATGTCATGGTAGCTGAAGCATTAGGAGTATGCAGGGTTAAGTTCTCTCGTTGCAATTGTATTGTTTGACTAAAAGTCAGTCTGGGTTCTCCGACGGTTAAATGGCAGATCCTATGTTTTGAAAATTTGCATTATCCCATCTGTTATATTTATTATCAATGGCAGCTCAGGGAAGACTTCTTCTTCCAATCAATGCAGATGGTGTTATTTTATTCCTAGAGTTTTGTTATCTGGAGATTCTCTCCTTCTTACGTGAACTCTGGGTCTGTCTGAATCTTGTTGGCATAGAATACAAATCCTGTTTTTCATGCTGCGGTCAAACTGTAGCTATGATGTAAGGACCAGTGCCTTTGATTTTCTTTGTTGTGCTATATTTTAACCTGAATATGATGAGGATTTTCGGAATGACCAACAGGCTTGATGAGCGGCTGTCTACTGGTTGAACTTACAGGTGGCATCAAGTCTTCTCTCGTCCGAACAGGCATCTGTTCTTCTATCTGACTATCGGGGTCTTGTTCCTGGTGATCCAGCTCTTGCCTGATCTGTGATGATGAGTGGATAAATGAGTGGGCAGGCTTTGCTGTGGGTCCCAGCGCCAAGTTACAATTTTTAACCGCAGACGGCTACTTATGGGAGGAGGATATTTTCTAATCTTCTCCACTCGCGGGGGCAATTTTTTTTTTTTTTGTATACCAGTCGAGGAAAGTGTAAATCTCTGTTTTCAATAAGGTAATTTTTGTGTATAAAATTAATTCATTGATGTCATGTTAAATAATCCCCTCTCCTTCCTCCCTTGCCTTTTTTCTTAACTCTCCTTGATCCTGGATTACTTCCACCAGGAGTGACTTGTAAAATGTTGCAGCCAGAACTTATGGTTTTTGCCAAAGATGGAAATAAACCCCTTCTGTTCCTGTAAATATTGGGTAACTAATGTGATACCAAGATTGCACGCCTACTGACTATTCTTGCACCCAAATTGGCTGCAGCAATTGGCTAGGCCACCATGCATTACTCTCTAAGTTACACTTAGATGGGATTACTTATCATGGGTTGCATGATCGAAGATGTGGCATATTCAAATTTCTAAGATCTAAAACGACATGTCTACCTATTCAACTATTCACCATTATTAAGAAATTTCCTTGGACTCTCGAATGAATCCAAGGCTTTCTTGTCTCCCTCCACAACATCTAGTCATCATCTGCATGTTTCCATCTACTTACCTCTGAAATTTCATCTGCATGACCTCTGCTCATATCCATGGAAGCCTTTATATTTCATGATTCTAATCTTTGCTAATAACAGCAAGCTACTAATCGCGCGTCACATACCCATTAGATGAGTTACTTTCATATTGGCAAGGTCATGTCCCAGAGTCTAATGAATGAATGCCACCACTCATCTCTGACAGGATGGTGGATGGATTAGTGTCAATGGTGATATAAGCTCTTTTGTACTTGGGCTGCTTGGACCACCGGATTGATGATTTCAGCTTTCCTAGGATGGGTGGGTCCTGCCAGGAAAAAGAGATGGCACAATGCCCAAGTGTGAAGAGATTAATGGCGTCCACATGAAATCTTGTCACAATCCCTCTTCCTTCCTCCTGAATTTTCACGGATAAATATTGCTATAAAACATGGGCTAAAGTTCTTAATAAGCTGCTAAACCTGTTTGATGAACTTAAGCAAAATTGGTCATGCTGAGATTCTTCTAAGTGAGAGATTTCCTGTTTTATTTTACTTTCTTATTTTTTTGCATAATTCAAGACTCAGACTCAGTTTATCGCAATAAGGGTACAATGGACTCATCGAAGGAATCTTTGATTTCACCTCACGAGAGTAACCTGCTGCAAAAGTCAACTTCTAGCGTGAGATTTGCATGCACTTGTGCACATGCCAATGAAGGTGGACCTCTATCAAATGAAGGGGGAATAGGTTGCATTAGCTGATATACTGGGGGTGGTTTTTGTCGGTAAATATAAAGCTTGTTTAAAAAACAGGACAGAATTTGGCAATTAGATAGCCCAAAGCATGCCGTGAGAGTAGAAAAAATTAAGCCTTGGAAAAAGATTCGATTACCCATTGACCAAAATCATGGGAAAAAAAAAGATTAATTTGACTTCATTATGAAAATCAGAGTTGTAGACGAAAAGAAATCATGAGGGCCTTTCCTTACTGATCACAGCACAAATAGTATCATTATTTATTGTAGCAACCTTCCCCCACTTGTAATATCAAGGAGGGGTGGTGGCAGAAGAAATACAAAAAGATTCAAGTATACAATGGAGAATGGATGATGAATGGATGAATATGGCGCCCACTTCTTCGTATTGCAAGAATTCACAGAGCCCAATGCTCAATTTGTGCATGGATGGATGATCAACTGCAGGAGATAGAGTTTTGAAAATCGGGACTTGGGAGAGAGGTTATCTTCTGTAGCTTATATCGGACCGCTTCTCCTTCACTTTGCCTCCTCTATTTAAGCCCTTTTTCAACAGCTTCGGCTTGAGCTTCGATCCTCCTCACTATTAGATCATGGACGGACAAGGTCGTTAGAATGCAGCGTGAATTCACGTGATAGGCAAAGCATTGACCCTTAACTTCCCTCTGCCTCCGTTTCAGATCCTCCAATTCCTGTTGTATCTTCTCAGGGTCACCTCTCTCACGATGAGCAATAGAGAAGCGTTTATGTGTACATTTTTCTCTGTAAGATGCTACTCCCCTGGTATAGCAGTTTTTAAGCTTTGAATTTCTCCGATTATGACTGTCTGATCTTTTTGTGCGTTTCTGACTTTTTTTCTGAATCTTATACCCTCATTTTTGACGACAATACTTTTTCAGAATGTTTCCATTTGATCCCTTGCATTGTGGAAGAGTGTGGATAGGCATTAAGGAGTAATGTTTGGACTCATGGAGGGATTTTGAAGCTTCGTTGATTTATCTAATTGAATGGGGCATTAAGGAGTAATGTTTTTGAATTTATAAAATGGAGTTACCGAAACCTTCCAATCATGAAAAATCAGTGAAACACCATACAAGCATTCTAACATAACGTATTTCAGCCACGCCAACACGAAATAACCTGCACTGATTGTCCAGGTTCCTTCTTCCTTTTCTCTGATCTTTGTTCTCTAGTTCTGGCCTTTCCTCTGCCCCTTGTTGCTGCGCACCACCACAGGAAGGTGATGATCCAGAGTCCTGCAGCTGGCCTGCTGCTGGCCGCTCTTTTTTTATCAGGCCAATTCAGCCATCCTTCTCCATCTACAGTGACTTTCCCAGCGTTTTTCGATTGTTCCTCTTCTATTTATGAATCAATGCATAGTTGCTCAGTTCGTTCTCATCTTACCCATTCATTCCACTGACGTCCAGTTGGCCATCCCTTGGATATAACATGGGTAGGTCACACAGGCCCCCATGCACCAGATAAATTGCTATGCTTTGTGCTGCTGTTATCACCATGGTCCAATCATTGAATACCCCCCCTCTTTGTGATACTGATTATTTTATATTACATTATCATGTGCAGATTTTTCTCCTTTATGAATTTTAATATTTTACATAACTTTGAACTGACAGAGGGCCAATTGTTAATGTAGACTCCATAGCGTTATCCCCTCTCTCTGCAGGGGATCTACCGAGGACAGGCGCATACATACACTCGTTCTCATCCTCACCCGAACTCACTGCAGATCTCTGTAGAGGCGGCTGCTACCTTATAGTTTTCTATGCCTCTTTTACACTAGGCGACCAATAAGCTTGAGCATCAGAGGCATCCTCAGTAGTGTCCTTGGGGTCCATTTTTGTGCCTCCTTCAAGGCGCCTCGTTAGGAGATGCTTTCCTAAAACCCAGCAGTGATGGGTGAGCTGCTGCTGCTGCTCCACACAGCTATTCACGAAACTTCTGGAGCAAGGAATTTAGTGGGTCCCCAGCTCAATTCTATCTAACTATGAAATAAAGACAAATCATGAATAAATAAAGCTGTGCATTTATGATAATCTATACAATTAAAGATCGTATGTTAAGAGAATAATAGTCGTGGTGAGATATAAACATTTATTCATAAAATTATTAAATAGAGACAAAAAAGCTGTCGTTTTTTGGTGTTTCTTTGAAGAATTTGAGAGAGGAACTGCCACATCCAAATGGGATGCCATGGTAGCTGAAGCATTGGGAATACACAGTGTTAAGTTCTCTCGTTGCAATTGTATTGTATGAATAAAAGTCAGTCTGGATTCTCCGAGGTGAAATGGTAGATGCCATGTTTCGAAAATTTGAATTATCCCATCTGATATGATTTTATCACCAATTGCAGCTGCCAATGAATGCGGATAATTTTATTTGATTCCTAGAGTTTTTTTGTCTGGAGATCCTGGAGTCTGGGTGCCTTTGAGTTTCTTTGTTGTGCTATGTTTTAACCTGAATATGCTTCTTTCGGTTTCTTTGAGTTTCTCTGTTTTCATTAAACTAGTTAATTGATTATTTTCATTTTATGTAATCATCCCTCCTCCCTCCTTGCCTTTTTTCTTTCTAACTCACCTTGATCCTGGAATATTTCCATAAGGAGTGAAATGTAAACTATCACCTTGATCATGTTCCCTGAGAAGTAAACCCTTCTGTTCATGTTTATTTGGTAACTAAAGAGATCCCAATGATGCACGTCTACTGACTATTCTTGCAAAAAAATTGGCCACAGCAATAAGACAGCCCAAGGCATGCGTCAGAGTATAAAAAATTAAGCCTTGGAAAATGATTCGAGTACCCATTGACTCAAATCATGGGAAAAAAAATATTAATTTGATTTCATGATGAAAACCAGAGTTGTAGACGAAAAAAACAATCACGAGGGTCTTTCTTCCTGATCATAGAACAAGTAATATCATCATTTATTGTAGCAACCTCCCCCCACTTGTAATCTCAAGGAGGGGTGATGGCAGAAGAAATACAAGAGGATTCCAATATACAATCGAGGAAGGATGATGAATGAATGAATATGACAACCCCTTCTTCGTATTACAGTAATTTTCAGAGGCTAATGCTCAGTCTATGCCTTCATCTCAATCAGCCCTTCATGGTCATGCTCTGCTTCAAATCAGCTAGCTCTTTAGCTGAGAGGTCCACGCACTGGGCATAGCCCAGCATCTTAAGATCCTCCCATATCTCGTAACAGTCATCAATCTCGACCGTCTTCTCCATCTGAAAAGTCAACATGGCCACCTTGAGTTGAATTAGGCCAGAAAAATACCTTTTACTTGGAAGGAAGAATTGGAAATGGGGGCCGGGGGAGAGAGGCTACCTTCTGTATCTTCAATCGGGCCGCTTTTCTTTCCCTTTCCCTCTGTTTAAGCACTCTTTCAACAGCTTTGGCTTGGGCATTGATCCTCCTCCTCTCTTTTGGATCAAAGGACGAATGAGGTCGTTAATGTGGCGTAAATTCAAAGTAGAAAATTCCTTCATGCATTCACGTGATGGGCAAAGCGTTGACCCTTACCTTCCCCTTGCTTTCGTTTCAGATCCTTCAGTTCCCGCCGTAACTTCTTTGGGTCACCTCTCTCACACTGAGGAAGACAGAAGATAGAAGAGAGAAGAGGTGAGAGTCTCAGGATGACTGATCAGGGAAGCTGACCAAAAACGGTGAAAGTTCTGTAGCGAAACGTTACCTTGTGAAGAATCATCTTCTCTTGGGCTCGAAGGATGGTATCTGCAAATCGTCTCTTCAACAGGGCAGCGCGAAGTGCTCTATTGGGAGACAAAAGACTCTCGGATGATGGAGGAATTCGATCACAGGTCTTCAGGGGCCTGTGATTCTTCCCTGAGATTGTTCTGTGCGAAATACATGTCACTTGAGCAAGCTCCCCCTTCGATTGCCTCTTTAATGACAGCTCGACAACAGCACTCATGGACGCACAATCTGGTGCCATAGCTGGCGGATTTTATGAAAAAGTGACGAACTCTCAGAAGGGAAGAAGATTTTGATCGCAGCCGGAAGTAGGACGGTAAAACAAAGGAAAACGAATGCCTGAACAACTACCAGGGTGGCTGAGCGTTGGGAAGAAAGATGGGTACAGAAGGGATCCACATTACTGAAAGGAAAGAAGAGAAACAGAGCAACGAGAACGGCAGAAAGAACGTACCTGGTCGACCGACGAGAAGAGTGTCACCTCCGACCCAAGAACCCCTCCTCTCTCTGTCTCTCTCGTTCTCTCTTGCTCTCGCTCTCCCTCTATCTCTCTGTCACTCTCGTTCTGTCTCTCTCCCTCTCTCTCGCTCTCGCTCTCTGTCTGTCTCTTTCCAGGAGTGGAGAACAGTAGAAGGAAGCGGTCGGCCAGCATCAGAGTGACAACAACGGCCGAGCGCGTGTGGTGAGAGCGGGCGGGAAAGAGGCGGGAAGGGGTCATTTAATCTTTTAAAAGGAGTACCCAACGAGCTCTCCGGTCGACACGTCACTAATGGCCGTTGAAGTGGCGGGAAGAAGGCGGACGGCTATTCTTCACTCTCACTCTCTCTCTCTCTCTCTCTCTTTCTTTCTCTCGCTCAAACCCGCCAAGTCTCCCTCATCTCCCTGATCGCCCACTACAGCGCTTTTGGTTCTGTCAACATGGCCCTCTCTCTCTCTCTCTCTCTCACACACACACACACACTCTTAGCAGGAACTTCCGGAGTGAGTCAGAGAATGTTATCCCCCCCTCTTTGTGATACTGATTATTCTTGGGAATCAGCATTGACCTTACTTTGACAAATACTGAAAATACTCCCATGAAAGGAGCATTTTACAAGAAAATAGAAAATTGGGTTTGAAGGGGGGTTTACCCGCTCACCAACATTCTTTCCAAACCACATTGAGAAATGACAGTTGACTGACCCTTGTGCGAACTCCATGTAAGGGCAGTCATTAGGCTCCACATTGCTTGATTAGTGTGATCTTCTGATCTTCAACACTCAAGATTTTTAGTCTTCATACTGAGTATCCAAGAACAGAAGCCTCATTCAAAATGCTGAATGCTTGATTTATTTTAAAGTTTAATATTTTCATGTCAATGATTAGTGGTGCACACGCAGTTTTATTTGGTTCATATGTTACTGTTATTTTATTGATAAAATTATTTTGAGAGATATTTGAAATTGGGTTGATTTTGATTTTAAATTGGTTTTGACTCATCTTGTCCTGTTAAGATTGAGGACAATTTGATTTCTCCCATGAAATCATATGCATATATAAAAATTCTGATTGTTTACTAGTGTACAACTTATTATTCAGGCTATCCTTGGTGGAAGGGTTCAAGTACCTACTTTGTTGGGGAAGATGGACGTGAAGGTACGATTTATTGCATTACCTTCAGTCTCTTTTATTAGTGGCATTCTTTTCTGGTTATTTTATAACTCTATAGGAATGCTAGAACACTGAGGAATTGCAACTGTGAAAGCATTTTGGACCTTGTTGAGTCTGTAGCATTGTGCAGTGCATTATGAAACAGAAAAGATGACTGGTATAAAGCATCAAGTCATAGATAGAAAAGTCATCTCTACCTTGAGAAATATTTGAGATTAAAGAGATTTTGAATTGATCCACAGGATTCTTGAGTCCCTACATTTGGCTGACTTATATTCTTTTCGCTTCCATTTAAGCATATGATAGAAAAGATCTTGTTTTATTTCGTATCTCAAAGATACACAAACATGAAGGGATTGTGTGCATCTGTTATAGTGGCACCAACTAAGAAGGAAATTGAACAGCGGGTCTTAGAAGTAAGATTATGCCTTAGATTATAACTTTTGAGCTATTGCATGAACTATTAAGCCATTGCCATTCCTCTCATTCTTACCACATGTAAAAAGGTTGAGGTAATACCCATTTTCTTCATGTTTGACTATAATCTCTTTATACGTTTTTGAAAAAATGACTTAATCTAGTAATTTTTTTTTATTCCCATTAGTAATAGAAATGGGTTTGTATCCAACCCAGTTGGGTAGTTTTTTCCTTCGAAGAACTCTTGACTTAGTTTTTTGAGCTTCTGAACTGGACATTAGAATATAGTGTACTTCAGATTTCGGATTTTTTATTTCTTCTTTCATGTACTTCGATTTTTCTTTTCAATGTAAGTTCAGAGGAAAATGTTCCAATAAGATGGTTGCTTCTATTATCTTATTTTCTGTTTAGATACCGAAAGGAGTCCAACCAGGGCAGCTGTTGGTCCTTAGAGGGAGAGGTATATCTGCTGAAGAATTTACATTCAGAGATATGCTAAAAGTGAACTACGACAGATTTTAGTTTTTTTCATTTATACCATATTTCATCCGTGTAATGATTAAGTCGTACCAGGTTTGCCAAAGCGTCTTGGCTTTGTGGACCATGGTGATCACTACGTGCGTTTCTGTGTAAATTTTCCTCTGTAAGATGCTACTTTCCTGGTGTAACAGTTTGTGATCTTTGAATTTCTCCAATTATGACTGCCTGATTTTTTTGCGAATCATATACCCTCATTGTTTTTCATAACGTTTCCATTCGATCCCTTGCATTGTGTAAGATTGTGGATTGGCAGTAGGGAGTAATGTTTGGACCCAGCGGAGTGATTCTGAAGCTTCGTTGATTTATCTAGTTGAATGGGGCAAAGTCCATGTTTTTGCATTTATAAAATGGAGTTACCAAAACCTTCCCATCATGAAAAATCAGTGAAATACCATACAAGCGTTATAACATACATATTTCAGCCATGCCAACACGAACAATAGAAAGAACGTACCTGATCGGCCGACGAGAAGAGTGTCGTCTCCGACCCAAGAACCGCCCCTCTCTGTCTCTCTCGCTCTCGCTCGCTCTGTGTGCCTCTTACCAGGAGTGGAGAACAGGCGGAGAAGGAAGCGGTCGGCTAGCATTAGAGTGACACCAACGGCCGAGCGCTCGTGGTGAGAGCGGGCGGGAAAGAGGCGGGAAGGGGTCATTTAATCTTTTAAAACGAGTGCCCAATGAGCTCTCCGGTCGACACGTCATAATGGCTGTTGGAGTGGCGGGAAGAAGGCGGACGGCTATTCTTCTCTCTCTCTCTCTCTCTCTGAGCAGGAACTGCCGGAGTGAGTCCAAGAATGGTGCTTCTGAGGAGGCTCTTCTCTCTCTCTCTCTCTCTCTCTAAGCTGTTAGTTCGTTTCAATATTTCCAGCATTTGGTCTTCATATCGACCGGTATCTTTTTGAAGTTGCTGCATTTCTCGTGCAGGCAGCCCGCCACAGCTGGGGTTTTTGCCCAATCTCACGGATTTGGAGAGAACTGATGATCCCCAATGCAAGTGAACGAGTGAGTATTCCCGCCCTGTAGAGCGCTTTTATTTCTGTAATATTTATCGCATTGTTATTCTCAGGAGACTTTTGGCTGGTGGGCGTCTTACGATAATGATTATCATAATAAAAAGAATAGTAATAATAATAATAATTATTATTATTATTATTATTACTATAATAGCGAGAACGATGATGATGACGATGATGCTAATAAATCAGATAACAGTAATAATAATAATAAAATATGGCAGCCACTAGGTGAGCATGGAAAATATTTCCGGGCATGACAGCTAAAACCCCTACATTTTTTTTAATTTTCTCTATCACAGTGGGCTGAATTGAACAAGATTTTTTCTTTAAAATAAGTTTCTGGCAGATTCAAGAGCTATTTCGGTCCATTTTAGTTCTTTGCAGTTCCTTTTGATGCTCTCTACTCTTTTAGGTCTTTCTTGATCATTTGCAGTAGTCTATAATTTGCAGTACCATTCCCGTGAGAAAGAGAGTTTCACTACCACTCCGTAATTATTTCAGTGCCCACCTCTGCTACGCCTTGCAAGAACGCTTAGGGTTCATGAAATTCTCTTTTCTCTTTATCTAATTATCCAAAGGTTCCAATGTCTTAAAGGTGATGTTGGTGGTCAACAGAAGAGATCTATGAGCCCTTCATTTCTCATCCATGGACAGTATATACGTTGTCAGTCTCTGTCTAGCAATCTCCATCATCAACATGGATGGTGAACAACAATTAACAGTCTCTGTGTTACACAGAGATTGGCAGTCTGTGTAACTGTCTCTGTGTAGCACTTTCGATCAAGTCAGCCATGAGCTACATACCTGAGCTGGCGGAAGATAAAATCAATATCCCCTTCCATGATAATGCTTGTATTTTTTTATGGTAGAATCTTGAATCAAATCATAGTTTATGTCGTAACACAGATTTTTTTTCTGTGTGAAGAAATCATAATATATTATATGGTAGGTCGTTCGTCAAACTGTTGATGTTGCATTTATTTACTACTTTTAGATCAGACAACGACCGCCAGAAGCCCCTTCTGGAAGAGTTTGCAAAGGAGGAAGAGATTCTTGAAAGAAGTGCTTATGAAGAAACAAAATGGTTAGTGTGTCTTATTAGGTTAGTTGCTTGGCATTCAAGACCCGATTTTATTCCTGCTGACCTCTGACAGTTTCTTTCATCTTATCTATCGATATGCACTTTAATTATGAAAATTTTCTATTGACAAGATAGTTCAATGCCTAGTTACTCAGTTCTTTCTCACCTTACCCATTCATTCCACTGACTTCTAGTTGGCGATCCCTTGTATATAACACGAGTAGACCACACAATCCCCTATGCACCAGATAAGTTGCTATGCTTTGTGCTGCTGTTATCACCATGGTCTAATCACTGAATCCCCCCTCTTTGTGACACTGATTATCTTATATTACATTATCATGTGCAGATTTTTCTCCTTTATGAATTTTAATATTTTACATCACTTTGAACTGACAGAGGACCAGTTGTTAATGTAGACTCCATAGCCTTATCCCCTCTATCCGCAGGGGATCTACTTAGGACAGGCGCATACATACACTCGTTCTCATCCTCACCCGAACTCACTGCAGATCTCTGTAGAGGCGGCAGCTACCTTGTAGTTTTCTATGCCACTTTTACACTAGGCCAGCAATTAGCTTGAGCATCAGTGGCATCCTCAGTAGTGTCCTTGGGACCCCTTTTTGTGCCTCATTCAAGGCGCCTGCTTAGGAGATGCTTTCCTAAAACCCAGCAGTGATGGATGAACTGCTGCTGCTGCTGCTCCACACAGCTCCATTCACCAAACTTCTGGAGCAAGGAATTTAGTGGGTCCCCAACTCTATTCCATCTATCTATGAAATAAAGACAACTTACGAATGAATAAAACTGTGCATTTATGAAAATATATAAAATAAAAATCATATGTTAAGAGATAATTAGTCCTGGTGAGATATGAAAAATTGATCATAAAAGTATTAAATAGAGGAAAAATAGATGTCGTATTTTAGTGTTTATTTGAAGAATTTGAGAGAGGAACAGACATTTCCGAATGGGATGCCATGGTAGCTGAAGCGTTAGGAGTACGCAGTGTTAAGTTCTCTCATTGCAATTGTATTGTTTTTGACTAAAAGTCAGTCTGGTTTCTCCGACGTTCAAATGGTAGATGCCATGTTCTGAAAATTTTAATTATCCCATCTGATATGTTTTTATTATCAATGGCAGCTCAGGGAAAACGTTTTCTGTCATGTAATGCGGAATGATTTTATTTTATTCCTAGTTATGTTATTTGGAGATCCTATAGTTTTATTTCTAGAGTCTGGGTGCCTTTGATTTTCTTTTTTGTGCTATGTTTTAACCTGAATATGATGAGGATTTTCCGAATGGCCTACAGGCGCAATGAACAGCTGTCTACTGGTTGAACTTACAGGTGGCATCAAGTCTTCTCTCGTCAGAACAGGCATTTATTCTTCTATGTGACTATCACGGCCTTGATCCTAGTGATTCAGCTCTTGCCTGATCTGTGATGATGCGTGGATAAAAGAATAAGCAGGCTTTGCTGTGGGTCCCAGCGCCAAGATACAACTTTTGATAGCAGATGGCTACTTATGGGAGGATATTCTCTTATCTTATCCACTCGTGAGGGCAATCTTCCTTTTTTTTTTTTTTTTTGTATACCAGACGAGGAAAGTGTAAGTTTCTATTTTCATCAAAGTAATTAAGTCATTATTATCCCATGGCTCCCTTTTTACTTTGAGGGGCTAGAGGTTTAAATTAAACCTACAGAATTATTTCCTGTATTTCGAAAAATATGGGAATTTCTCGTAATAGAGATCTTGTGGAAGATAGCTCCTTGAGAAAAATGTGGCATAGATCTGTGGCTACCATGTATTACTTAGATGGCATTACTAGTTATGATAGGTTGCATGATTGAAAATGTGGCATATTATGCGATGGCCCTTGGCCCCTACTTGAAATATATACATGTTGGGAATGAACTGATGGAGGATTTTTTAGATCTCAGGGGCATACTATTTTTTTAGTAAAAATTTGTTAAGCAAATTTAATTATATTTTTTGCTATTTAATTATAGTTTAAATTTTCAGTGTACTAGAAAAACTATATTTTTTTACTCTTGGCTTTAAAAATTGTGTAATAAAAAATAGATTAAATATACGGTCATATCTTCCAATTTTATAAGGTAGCAGGTGGTATCAAGCGCACATCAAATTTATACTCTCTCTCCCTCTCGCCCTCTCTCCTATATATCCTCAAATAAGCTTTAGCCAAGCAGCCCATCTGGCTGAAAATAAGTAAAGGCCTTTTTTAAAAGAGATTTTATCTTAAAATATACGTTTTTTATCAAATCCAAACTCTAAGATCTAAAAGCACATGCCTACCTGTTTAAAGGGGCACAACTATTCAACATGCCTACCTGTTACTTTCAAATAGGCAAGCTTATGTCTCAGAGTCTAATGAATGAATCTCTCCACTCATCTCAAATTGGATGATCGACGGATTATTGTGCATGGCTCTAACCTCTTTTGCACTTGGTGTTATTGCTTGCTTGTGCTGCTTGATTAATGATTTTAGCTTTCCTAAGATGGATGGGTCCTGGCAGAAAATAGAGATGGCGCAATGCCCAAGTTGTCAGTGTGAAGAGAGATTAATGGCGTCTGCATGAAATATTGGCGCAATCCGTCTTCCTTCCTCCTGAATTTTCACGGATAAATATTTCTTTAAATTACATGTGCTGAAGTTCTTAATAAGCTGTTAAACCTGTATGCTGGATTTAATCAAATGTGATCATGGAAAACTTCTTCTAACCAAGAAACTTTCTGTTTTATTTTATTAATTTTTTTGGCATAAATTCAAGGCTCAAACTTGGTTTATGGCA